CCAGCTCATGAAATCATCACGGCAGCGGCCGGCAGGACAGTTGCAGCCGATACCACCCCCAGAGCGTGCTTGGCAGCAGGTGACGATGGACTTCGTCATGGGGTTACCGGCCGGGGCGAGTGGGAACGACGTGATCCTGGTCGTCGTCGATCGACTGACGAAAATGACACACTTCGCAGCCTGCAAAAAATCAATCACAGCCGAAGAAACAGCACGCCTCTTCATCTCCACCGTCGTTCGACTGCACGGGATACCAGCAGTGATAATCAGCGACCGCGACACGAAATTCACCAGCAACTTCTAGCGGAACCTGTGGCAGCAGTTCGGCACGCGACTACACTTCAGTTCTTCGTACCACCCCGAAACCGACGGACAGACAGAGCGGACAAATCAGAGTATGGAGCAACTCATCCAAGCCACGTGCAACAACCCAACCACTTGGGAACAACAGCTGCCACTCATTGAGTTAGCATGCAACAACTCACCATCCGCCACGACCCAACAGTCACCGTTTTACCTGAACCACGGACAAGACCCGACAGTACCCATGACCCCGAATCCTGACAACCAGGTGCCACGAGCACAACAGTTCACTGAAATTTTACAAGCAGCATGGACACGGGCAGCAGACGCAATAAAAAAATCGAACATCATCGCTAAACGTAACGCCGACCGCCACCGCCGACTTGTCACTTACCAACCTGACGACCTAGTTTTACTCGACACTCAGAACCTCCGACTGCCCATCACCCCAAAACTCCGCCCCCGATATTGCGGGCCATTTCGCATAAGCCACATGATTACGCCCGTCACCGCCCACCTCCTCCTCCCCGCTGACTGGTACGTCAGCCCCTCATTCCACGTGAGCCTGCTTCGCCCTTACATCCCGTCCACAAGCCAACTGCCACGTAATCGCCCAGCCAGCATGACACGACCGCCGACTAAACCAATCATCACACCCGAGAAAATTCTGAGCCACAGAGTTCGTGACCCTCGAGGAGCCCGAAGGATCGAGTTCCTGATCCGCTGGAAAGACCGTACACCCACCGAAGACAACTGGGTTCCCCTGGACAGAGTCGAAAACCACCCCGTCCTCACAGAGTATCTGCGCATCCGAAACTCTAGGGATGTACACGCACTTTCGTAAGGAGGACCTGCTTAGGGGGGGGGATAGTGTAAGGAAAATTCCTTTTCCTTACTTCGCGTCCCCGTTCAGCGCGTACACCAATGTAGCACCACAGTCAGCACCGTTACCACTCGCAACCCTCGCATCGACAATCCTCCCGCCACCTTCGCACGTCGCACCCCGACCTCACGGCTCGGCGGGTAACCCGCGCTCCGGACCTCCGCTTCGACATTTCCCCAAACCTTAGCCCTAGGCCCGTCGCGCGACAGCCACAGTCCATTACCGTTACCACGGTAGTTTTGCTATATATTCTTCGCTCATGCCTTCGCTCATTGTACTCTTGCTTCGATAGTGCAATTCTCGCTCGACCACTCAATTGCACTCGTAACACCTTAGTTGAACCAACGTGCACTTCAGCACGAATGTAAGTAGCTTTCAGAGTCGACCCAAAGTAACCATAGTCGAACCAATTTGCATTGCAAGTCGACCCAAAGTGGCCATAGTCGAACCAATTTGCATTGCAGGTCGACCCAAAGTGGCCATAGTCGAACCAATTTGCATTGCAGGTCGACCCAAAGTGACTTTCTGAGTTAACCCAAAAGGTACAGAATATCAGTAGCTCACTTGTAGCATTGCATTTCAGTAGTTATGTGCCGATCAGCAAGCTCTCCCAACGAGATACAATACACGTTACAAATGCTCACTTGCACGGAAAATCAGCATCTCACTTGTACATAGCGTTGCATTTCATTGGTTATGGGCCGGTCTGTCAACATGCTCCCCTTGTGATTCACAACACACGCTATAGATGCTCACTACAAACAGGAAATGCAAGTATGTTGAATCAATAACTCACCCGTAGCAGTGTGCTGCCTTGGCTATGGGGTGATCCACAAGTTCGTCCAGTAGTTGGACGGGGGGTGGGGTACATGTAAGGAGAGGAGAGCGAGGAAGATTCACTCACTCGTAGAAGTGTGCTATGGTGGCCATGGGGAGATCAACAAGCTCGTCCAGTGTTTGGATCGGGGGGGTGGGAGAGGTGTGGAGAGGAGAGAGGAACGCTAACCACTCACCCAGACCACTGCAGTGCCATGGCTATGGGGCAATCTACTAGCTCATCCAGTGACTAGATGTCAAGGACAGAGCGAGGGGAAGGAAAACGCTGCAAACACTCAGAGGCTGATAGGCTCATAGTTAGAAGAGGCAAGGTGTTTCCCACTCACCCGTAGAAGTGTGCTGCTGTGGCTATGGGGCGATCTACAAGCTCATCCAGTGATTGGATGTCAAGGACAGAGCGAGGGGAAGGAAAACGCTGCAAAAACTCAGAGGCTGACAGACTCATAGTTAGAAGAGGCAAGGTGTTTCCCACTCACCCGTAGAAGAGTGCTGTTGTGGCTATGGGGCAATCTACAAGCTCATCCAGTGATTGGATGTCAAGGACAAAGCGAGGGGAAGGAAAACGCTGCAAACACTCAGAGGCTGACAGACTCATAGTTAGAAGAGGCAAGGTGTTTCCCACTCACCCGTAGAAGTGTGCTGCTATGGCTATGGGGCAATCTACAAGCTCATCCAGTGACTGGATGTCAAGGACAGAGCGAGGGGAAGGAAAACGCTGCAAACGCTCAGAGGCTGACAGGCTCATAGTTAGAAGAGGCAAGGTGTTTCCCACTCACCCATAGAAGTGTGATGCTGTGGCTATGGGGCAATCTACAAGCTCATCCAGTGACTGGATGTCAATTACAGAAGGAGGAGAAGGAGGAGGAGGTGAGGTGAGGGGAGAGTCGGGTGCCGTGGATGGTTTAGAGGGAAGGCTTAGGGCGAGCTGGTTGTTGGAGTCAATTTTTGAGTCGACTAAAAAATTGGCTTAGGGCAAGCTGGTTGTTGAATTCACAGTCGAAGAGATTGCCTTGCCTGCCATGGGATGCCGAACTGGGAAAGGAGAAGGGGGGAGAAAGGTGGGTGTGGCTGACGTAGATTGCTATTGGGGGAAGGAATTAAGGCCAAGGGAGATATTGCTGGTTGAAGTCACAGTCGAAGAGAGCGCCTTTTGAGTCGACTCAAACGAGATTGCTGGCTGAGGTCACAGTCGAAGAGAGCGCCTTTTGAGTCGACTCAAAAGAGATTGCTGGTTGAAGTCACAGTCGAAGAGAGCGCCTTTTGAGTCGACTCAAAAGAGATTGCTGGTTGAAGTCACAGTCGAAGAGAGCGCCTTTTGAGTTGTGGGATGTCCAGGGATGTCAGGGGATGTCAGGGGATACCGGCGGATGTCAAATGTCAAAGTGTCAAGACTGAGGAAGAGGTGTATGGATGCATGCACACACACTCTACCCATCGCCACACACTCCACACCACAATCCCACACACTCAACCCTAGTCCTTCTTGAAAAGGTCTAGACTAGACACATCACGTTTTCAACAAACACACGCACAACCTATTTTCGAGTCGACTCAAAACTAGGTTAATTACGTTTTCGGCAAACACATGTATAGGGTGCAATTGTTATGAGTGCATGTTGTCTAGCCACACATGTGCGCATTAACCCCCCTCCCATACCCCTCCCCTCCCCCTCCCCTTCCCCTCCCCTCCCCCTCCCCTCCCCTCCCCCTCCCCTCCCATAATGCTTATCAGGTTGCGGCACATCACATTGCCCACTGCTGCTGGGTTGAAGGCACATACTAGTCACACACACACATTATCCCCCCTTTCCCCCTTCCATCTCCCCCCCTCTTCCTCTCCCCTCTCCCTCACCCACACACCAGTCAATGATGATCAGGTTTCGGCACATCACATTGCCCACTGCTGCTGGGTTGATCACCGATTCTAGCCTAACACATACTAGCTCACTCATGCAATGCCCCCCCTCCCTCCCCCCTTCCCTCTCCTCTCCCCCGCACCAGTCAATGCTGATCAAGTTTCGGCACATCACGTTGCCCACTGCTGCCGGGTTGAACACACATACTAGACACACGCATACATTACCCCCTTCGCTCTCCCCCTCTCTTCCTCCCTCCTTCCCTCCTCTCCCCCGCACCAGTCAATGTTGATCAAGTTTCAACACATCACGTAGCCAACTGCTGCTGGGTTGCTTCAGCCATATGATTAGGCGAGCAGCAGTCTAAACAAACACATCACGTAGCCAGCTGCTGCTGGGTTGCTTCAGCCATATGATTAGGCGAGCAGCAGTCTAAACAAACACATCACGTAGCCAACTGCTGCTGGGTTGATTCAGCCATGTGATTAGGCGAGCAGCAGTCTAAACAAACACATCACGTAGCCAACTGCTGCTGGGTTGCTTCAGCCATATGATTAGGCGAGCAGCAGTCTAAACAAACACATCACGTAGCCAACTGCTGCTGGGTTGCTTCAGCCATATGATTAGGCGAGCAGCAGTCTAAACAAACACATCACGTAGCCAACTGCTGCGGGTTGCTTCAGCCATATGATTAGGCGAGCAGCAGTCTAAACAAACACATCACGTAGCCAACTGCTGCTGGGTTGCTTCAGCCATATGATTATGCGAGCAGCAGTCTAAACAAACACATCACGTAGCCAAATGCTGCTGGGCTGCTTCAGCCATATGATTAGGCGAGCAGCAGTCTAAACAAACACATCACGTAGCCAACTGCTGCTGGGTTGCTTCAGCCATATGATTAGGCGAGAAACAGTCTAAACAAACACATCACGTAGCCAACTGCTGCTGGGTTGCTTCAGCCATATGATTAGGCGAGCAGCAGTCTAAACAAACACATCACGTAGCCAGCTGCTGCTGGGTTGCTTCAGCCATATGATTAGGCGAGCAGCAGTCTAAACAAACACATCACATAGCCAACTGCTGCTGGGTTGCTTCAGCCATATGATTAGGCGAGCAGTAGTCTAAACAAACACATCACGTAGCCAACTGCTGCTGGGTTGAAGGCAGAGATCTGCGCGGGTGAGGGGAGAGGCAGGGGAGAGAATGGGAGAGAAAGGGTTGGGGGGAAGAGGCGGAATATGGGGTGGGATTGTAAAGCGGATGAGGTTTCGGCACATCTCGTTGCCCACTGCTGCCGGGTTGAAGGCAGAGACCTGCGTGGGTGGAATGGGGTGGGAGAGGAGAGCATGAGGGAGGACAGAGTGGGAAAGGGACGGAAGATTTGGTGGGGTGGGATTGGGTGGGAGGGGGTTGGGTGGGGTGGGGTGGGCATGTATGCGTGGCATGTCCCTCACATGCATGCCACCAGCATAGAACCGAAACGTGTACTCCATACAAGCATCTCCACAACTAGGCTTACCAGCAGGTGCATGTAGTCCTCGAGCTGGCCCTGCCTATGCAGAAAGAACGCGAATCTGTTATAGGATGTACCGACAGACATGGAGGGACAGAGACACACTCTCAACTTCCATGCGACAAATAGGATGCAACAAATAGGATGCAACAAATAGGATGGGACAAATAGGATGAGACAAATAGGATGCGACAAATAGAATGCGACGACAAGAGTGTGGTTACATAGGATGTACAGACAGACATGAGGCAATTAAAGAGACAAATACACATGTAGAGGGACACATGAAGTGCATGGCATGCTGAGCACACACGCATGCTCATGGAATCCCAGGCATGGAAGCAACAGCTGTGCTTGCCTAACCCAGCGCAGCCCACCACCCACTTCAGCGAGCTGATGGCATGCTCAGCACACACGCATGGAGAGAGACACATGAAGTGCATGGGATGATGAAAGAAGCAGCTGTGCATGGGCAACCCAGAAAGCCGAGGTTCGTTCGTTCGTTGACTTGGCTGTTAAACAACAAGCGCTGCTCACCTGATTTTTGAGTTGACTCAACAGAAAGCAGCAGCCGTGCATGGGCAACCCAGAAAGCCAAGATTCGTTAAGCAACAAGCCCTGTTTGCCTGAGCTTGCTGCTCAACGCTGCTCACCTCTCCACACCTCTACTCACCTCTTTTCACCACTCACCTTCTGACAGGCATGTTGGCGATGGTGAAACGGCTGAAGAATGATAGTATGCTATGCCCACCAACCACCACACCTCTCTGTACCCCTGCTGACCGCACACCACGCACTTGCAACATGCCGCTCACAACTTACCTCTTGACAGGCATGTCGGTGATATGTGAACAGGCTGTTGAACAATACTCTCTGCTCACTGGCCAAAACACCTCCGTTAACCTCTGTTCACCCCTGCTCACCCCTGTTCGCCTCTCTTCACCTCTACTCACTCTTGTCCACCTCTCATCACCCCTGCTCACCACTCACCACGCACCATGCAACATGCGCTCACCACTCACCTCTTGACAGGCATGTTGGTGATGGTGAAGAGGCTGTTGAACAATATGCCATAGCATGACATAAGCTCCCTCTGAGAAGGGTATGTGATGTTGGAGAGGTATGGAGGGGTTTGGAGGGGTATGGAGGGGTTTGGAAGGAAATTTGGAGAGGGAGACTGCATGATGATGATATGCATAGCATAACATCAGCTCGCTCTGAGAAGGGTATGAGGGTTGGAGGGGTATGGAGGGGAATGGAGGGGTATGGAGGGGAATGGAGGGGTATGGAGGGGAATGGAGGGGTATGGAGGGGAATGGAGGGGTATGGAGGGGTATGGAGGGGTATGGAGGGGTGCGGAAGGATGTGGATGGTTATGGAGGGTATGGGGGGGTATGACAGGATGTGGACGGATTTGATTAGAAGGATATGGTGGGGAGGGAGACTGTTGGTTGAACGATATGTCATAGCATGACATCAGCTCGCTCTGAGAGGTACAGATGGAGTGGTACTGAGGAGTGTGGAGGGTATGGAGGGGTATAGGAGGGTATGGAGGGGTATAGGGGGGTATGGCAGGGTATGGCAGGGTGTGGAGGGATATGGAGGGGTATGGGGTGGTATGGCATGGTATGAAGGGATATGGAGGGGCATGGAAGAGAATCTGGAGAGGGAGACTGTTGGTTGAACGATATGACTTAGCATGCCATCATGTCGCTTTGAAAAGGGTATGGAGGGGTTTGGAGAGGTATGGAGGGGCATGGAGGGGTATGGAGAGGCATGGAGGGATGTGGAGGGTTGTGGAGATATATTGAGAATTATGGAGGAGTTGGAGGGATTTGGAGGGTTTTAAATGGGTTTGGAGGGGTTTGGAGGGGTTTGGAGAGATTTGGAAGGGTAAGTGTTCCCGTAGCAGCACATCATATCACATCTCATCTCATCCCATCCCATCCCAACCCACCCCGCCCCACTCTACCCCACCCCAACCCATCCCATCCCACCCCACCCCACCCCACCCCACCTATCCCATCTCACCTTATTTGCCTCCTCCCGCTTGGCTTGAGCAGGTGGAAGGAATGGCCAAACCGGGTTATTCACCAGGTCTAGTACCAGTCCCGAGCTTTCCTTGCCGTACCTGGAACATATGTTTGCAAAGGAAGGATTAGGTGAAGGACCAAGGTTCAAGGAAATAGCATTTACATAGAATAATATAATAAAGACAGAATTTAGACATAATCTCGACATAATCTAGACAGAATCAAGACTGAATATAGACGGAATCTAGATGATATGAAATTATAGATTTTGACTTAAGAGTGTATTTTTGCACACAAGACCGATGCCACTGCACATCCCATTTGCACTCGGTTCCACCCAACAGCATTGCATCCCATCGCATTCCACACACATCGCTATTGCTGCCCACCACATCTAACCGCACTGCATCCGGTTGTAGCGCACTCACTCTAGCTTCCGATAATCAGCTAAGAAAACTTTCAGCACACAACCTTACACTGCACCACCGCACTCCATCCCAGAGGTCTCGTGCTCAATCTCATTGTACCGCACTGCCACTGCACCTACACGAGGCTGTTTTGTGACTGCAATTGGACTGATGCTAAGCCCATGGAGCCTAATAGCCAGCACACACACACAACCTTAATCCACACAGACGCACCACACTGCACCACACTGCACCCCATTGCACCGCACAGCACCGCACCGCACTGCATTCTACTACACATGCACCTGGCTGTTGAGCAGCTGAAACACCCTGATGCTGAGATCTAACACTCATCCTCCCCTTTCATAACCACAGCCAAACATCGGGAGTGGGTGGGGGAAAGGAGTGGGTGGAGGAATGGAAAGGAGTAGGTGGGGGAAAGGTGTAGGTGGGGGAAATGAGTGGGTGGGGGAAAGGAGTGGGTGGGGGAAAGGAGTGGGTGGGGGAAAGGAGTGGGTGGGGGAAAGGAGTGGGTTGGGGAAATTAGTGGGTGGGGGAAAGGAGTAGGTGGGGGAAAGGAGTGGGTGGGGGAAAGGAGTGGGAGGGGGAAAGGAGTGGGTAGTGGAAAGGAGTGGGTGGTGGAAAGGAGTGGGTGGGGAAATTGAGTGGGTGAATGATATATGTTGATGGGGGAGGTAATGATTGAAGGGTGGTGGAGAGGAACAGTATGGGTGAAGTGCCTTGATGCTGCAGTCGACCACCCCCGTTCCTCTCTGGCACCAACTCACACAGCTCAATCATATCCGAAACCCAACAAAATTATATCTGAACAATATAAAAAGCAACATTAACAAATAATCATGTAATTTATACGTCCAGGTTAGGCAGATATCTCCCCACCCCCCCTAGTTCAGCTGGCACCACCAGGAGCCCAAAATAGCTCAACCAGACTTGAGCCTCAGAACCAAACAAGTACCACCAACCAGTCTAACCTTCTACTCCTTAACAGATAGGGCGCTCTGAAGTGATTATTTCAGCACACAGCTAGCACGAATGGTTGCACTGGCCATTCTCAATCTCAGTTTTCCAGCCAGCCCTTATTTGTATCCGAAAAAAAAAAAAAAAAACATTACTTTTTCTATTTTCACGTCACAAACCCTTCGAGGAATCTTATCCTGTGGTGCCTTACCATAAACACTGAACACGTGTTCCACCTTGGTGTCACTTCAAGCTTTGTCGAATCTCCTTCGCACTTCACCTTGGGTGGGTGCCGAATCTGCTTATTACGGGTACCACGGTCTCCCGCTCCCCCACAGGCGGCGGCTGTACATTCTGGGGGGAGACCAGGGGCGCCCGCTTCCCCATAGGCGGCGGCTCATCTTGGTCATTCCGCGCACCCGCGCACCGTCGCCAGAAGAAAAACTCGGGTGTGGCGGCTCTGCGCAGATCTCTTCCGCCGGAAGAGCGGATTCCTCCCGCGGGAGCTCGAATCCGCGCAACTGCACTCCGCCGCTGGTGTGTGCGCGGGGCTCCATCGCACGGAACATCTTTTCGCGGGATTCCGGGCAGTAATTGTAACTTTGCTTATAGGCATATTTATCTGCCCAGTACGGAGTAATCCCATCGAACTCATCCCCGTTACACTGCGGGTAACCAGAGTCAGCACATCCGGAATTCCCCGGGCACTGAAGGGAACTAATCCCCAACTCAATATTATACGTGCTGGCCTGGTCGTGGCCGTTTAACTCGTAACCGAAGAAGTCTATATCGCAGCAACGCGCGAGCTTGCGCGGGGTCCCCCCGCAGTCCTCGCACTAAAGCGCGCCGGCCTGAACGAGCGTGCACTCTCCCGAGCCATCCGTGGCATAGCCGCCGCCGTAGAGACACGTACGACGCCATCCGTTGCCGTTACAGTAGCTTAGGACGAGTACGGTCTCGCTTGCCTCGTATTTGTAATCCAGTTTGAAGGCGCGCACCGAAGCTAGAGGGAGGAGAAGGCAGGAGAGGAGGAGAGTCGCGAAGAGAGGAGTTATCCCGGCCGCCATCATCGGCGCTGGTGACGAGTCGTCAATTGTTCTACTGTCAAAGAAGTAGGGAAAGAACTAACGAGATCTGCTATTCCGAATAGATACTTTTTAGGGTGAGACTCTCCGTCGGACGGACGTTGGGACTTCAAATGGATAGTTGTGGAAGTAAACAAGCTTGGAATTGTTGGTGCAACCCTACGGTTTGCACTCGGCTTGTTGTCCGTGTGCGTGCATGTGTGTGTGTATGAAATGGTATGAGGGCATGGGATAATATATATTTCATGCTTATAATTGTGTGTGAATGTTGAGTCATGATGTCGAGTGTGTGAGTCGAGTCAATAGCGAGTTATCGCTAGACGCGTGTTACGCGGTCGTTTGTGTCTCGCGCGCAGTTTCTATTTTTGTCGTGCGCGGTTTTCTATTTTGTCATGTGTCGAACGTTCGGTGTGTCGCAGGTGTGTGCAGCAGACCCATCAAGAACTCAAGGATGAGTTTGTGATGAAGAGCCCGAGCCTTGGTGTCAAGCCTCAAGTGATTTCGAAGCTCGCCAAAAGGGTACACCTCAAGATATTGAAGATAGTTACATTACTTTGTGTAGTGTAACATTTCACTTGGTGTAGGCCCTAGTGAAGGGTAGTTTCGAGACCCTTCGTGGTTGGGGACAGTGTGGCACTATTCCACATCACTGTACCTCGGCTCTTGGGGTTTGTAGGAGCTGGGAGTCATTCCCAACTCGTAACTCTTCATATCTCTTCCTATTTTGTCTTCTAAGACTATAGTGGCTGCCATAGTGCCGTTCGTTCAAACCGACACTGTGTCGTCAATACTTGGTGCAATTGTGCGATCTAAATTGCCTATTAAAGGCGACGTTCAGACGCTCCAGATCAAAGTTGAATCAGGTCATTTGAAGTTGTGACCAGAACGCTATGAACGTTTGAAGTCGCTGTGCAGAAATCCGGCTGTGCACTCTATCTTTCGTTTTAGGCACATTGGAGCCTATTGTGACTATAACAAGTGGTATCAGAGCCCTTTGGATTAGTTTCGACAATGGCTGGACCTGAAAAAAGGGGTGGCAGAGGTGCTGGTGGCAGAGGAGAAGCCCAAGCTCAAGGCCAACTCCGTGATTCAGCCATGGCGCCTGTGCAATCAAGTGTTGGCCCATCTAGGGATGAGCCTAGAGTGTTTGGCCTTGACAAGTTCAATGGTGACAACTTTGCTGAGTGGTCCTTCAGAATGGAGAACATATTTGACCACTATGACATGCTGGAGGTAATGGAAGGAACGGAGAAGCATCCCGAGAACGACCCGGAGAAGAGCCCGTGGGTGCAGAAGAGCGCACAAGGCTACCTCCTACCTGGGCAAGCGTTGGGGAGCAGCCAAATCCGTCACATCAAGCCTTTCCAGCGTGAACCAGAGAAGGGACCAAAGGCATGGGCTGCTCTCAAGGGTGTACACGCTCCTGCAACAACGGCGGTAGCTGTGGTGTTGGAACGGCAAATGGCGACACTACGAATTGAAGAGGATGAAGCGGTTGAAGAAGGGGTGCTGAAATTCTTCGACTTGTTGACGCGGCTTGAGGGAGCTGATTTGAACTATAGTGAGCTCCAAAAGAAGACCAAGTTGCTGGCCCTACTCACTGAGTCATGGTCCTCGCTCATCATCAACCTTAATCGCGACTTGCCCCGCCTCTCGCTTGAAGACGTGAAGCGAGCTATCCTTCAAGAGGATTTCCGCCGCCGTGAGTTGGCGAGTGCGGATGGCGCTGGGGCAGCAAGCATCGGCCGTGGATATGGTCAAGGAAGAGGTAGAGGACGAGGAGGAGGAAGGTTTGGTGGCAGCAACTTCGGCGGAGGCCGCGGGAGTGGCGGTTACGGCAGCGACGACAAGAGCTACGGACGCGGTCGCGGCCGATTCGACGGCGAGTGTCACTATTGCCACAGGAGCGGACACATGTGGCGCGACTGCTACAAACTCCCTGATGGTTGGGCCCCTGCTCAAGGCCAAGAGGGTAGAGGAGCAGGAGGAGGGAGAGGAAGAGGCCATGGAGGCCGTGGCGGTCGCGGTGGCGGAGCTGCAAACATGAAGAGCGGAGACAACGACAAGGACCCGAGCAACGATCGGTACCCGGGTCTATTCTACTTCGTGTCGATGCAAGTACCGGCTGTTCCAGAGAAGGATGAAGGCTTTGAGGAGCCAGCAGCTGTGGGGAAGGTGACTCTACACCCTCTGGACTATTGGGTGATCGATAGTGGCGCTACCTATAGCATGACACCTCGCCCGGACTTGCTCACCGAACTCGAACCGTCACCGGTGAAGCATGTCACATCAGCTTTGGGGCAGCAAGCGGAGGTGAAAGGCATGGGCAAGGCCATGTTTAAGGGTGCTGATGGGAAGATGGTGGGCCTCAAGAATGTGCTTTGGGTGCCCAGCCTTGCTGCCAACCTGATTTCCGTGCGGCGGTTGGCAAAGGCTGGCATGGACACGAACTCAAAGGGAGCCAAGACCTACACCGCAAGGCTTGGCGATCGGATTCTTTGGGACCTTCATGAGGACAGAGATGTCTACAACGAGATGTGGCAGATCTCTGTGGTCCCAATGCCTAAGGAGAGGCAAGTGGCAGCAAGCGTCAGCACCAAAGGTGGAGCGGTTGGTAGCGGCGATTGCGCGGACGGTCGAGCTAAGGAGAAGGAGTCCAAGAAGTGCAATCTTGGAGGGACCAGCAAGCTTGGTGAACCTATGGAGAGAGGTGCAGCAGCCAAGGAGCAGTAAAAGGCTGAGGAGAACCTCGAGGCAGCAGCGAAGGAGGACTACGGAGAGAGTATGTGGGGTGCTATTGCGAGCGCGGCATTCTCCAATCCAACTTCGGCTACGGGGGAGTGTGATTGGCTCACCTTGCATCGGCGCATGGGGCATGTGGCCCTGCCCATCTTGCAGCAGCTAGTAAAGAATGAGATGGTTGCTGGCATACGTGTGAAGGGGGGGCCCGATGAGGTAATTGGCTGCCCGACGTGCATGCAAGCCAAGTTCACCCGTTTCCCATTCTCTAGTTCGGAGGCAACGGCTAAGGCACCACTTGATGAGGTGGTGATGGACGTGGTGGGCCCCCTGAAGCTTGGAGCTGCTGGAGCTGAGTACTTCCTCACTATTGTGGACGTCTACACCCGTATGACTTGGGTGTACGTGCTGGCCAAGAAGAGCGACGTGGCTGAAACGTTGAAGGCGGATTGGTTCCCGATGGTGGAGCGGCAACAAGACCGTCTAGTCAAGTCAATCCGCACCGATCGAGGGGGAGAGTTCCTGAGCAAGGAGTTTGGGTTGTGGCTGAAGAAGAATGGTATTCGGCACTCCCTTACCATGCCATACTCCCTTGCAATGAACGGCATCGCCGAGCGAGCGAACCGCACAATCACGGAGGCGGCACGCGGGTTGCTCATTGAAGCCGGGCTACCCGACTATTTCTGGCCTGATGCGGTGCGGAGCGCGTGTGTGGCCAAGAACCGAGCCTTGACTCATGTGGGAGCAGACAAATGGGTGCCCTATGTGGAGTGGCTAGGAAGGAAGCCAAAGGTGGATATGCTTCGGGTGTTCGGGTGCATGTGCATGGCGCTCGTGCCTAAGCATCTTCGGCACAACAAGCTTGGTGCCAAGGCGGTGTGGGCCGTGCACTTGGGCATGGCTCAAAACAGCAAGGGATGGCTTCTTTGGGACCCATTCACCAAGAAGTTCTTGGTGAGCAGGGACTGCAAGTTCATGGAGAACTTCATGTACAAAGATTGGAAGGCGGAGAATGAGGCGAAGATAGGCGTGCGGTTTGGGGAGGTGAAGAGTTCCGGTTTGGAGCATGTGGAGCTGCTTTTGGAGCTGAGCAGCGGCAGCACAACCACAAGGCAATCCTCCCTTGTGAATGGGGGAGAGGAAGCCAATGATGCAGAGGAAGAAGAAGAGGAGGTGCAGCAAGTGAGCGAGCGTGCATCGTCACTCCCTTCCCGTACTACGAGTGCTCCACGGATTCGAGCCACACCGCAGCAACGCCAAGGTCTTCAAGTCCCTGCAGCTGAGGAGGAAGGAAGGGGCAAGAGGAGAGTTCAACCCCCTAATAGGCTGACCTATGATGCGCTGGGAAAGCAGGGCAAGACAGCCCTGGCCGGAGCGGCAATGATGGTCGGAGACGACAAGGAGAGTGACTACAAGAAGTGTGCCTTCGCGTTCTTCTCTCCGGTGGAGATGCCGGGAGAACCAGCAACTCTCAAGGAGGCTTTGGAGAGTAGTGATGCTGAGGAGTGGAAGAAGGCCATGGAGAGTGAGCTGAAGAGCATCAAGGAGAATGACACGTTTGAATTGGTGGAGCTACCGGAGGGGCGTACGGCAATATCGTCCAAGTGGCTCTTCAAACCCGACCGGACGTCGCGTTTGCTACCGGGCAGCTGGCTAGGGTTGTGCAATGCCCTAATGAGGAGTAGGTAGCAGCTGGAATGAGGGTGGCCAAGTATCTTGGCCAAACATCGACCGTTGGGCTGCAA